ACACGGCGTGGTCTGTGCCGCACGTCTATAAACTGGCCCCTTGTCAAGCGGGAGAAGCAAAGGCATAAACATGCGCTTTGAGAGGTCCGCGCGGATAGCTTGGACCTGCACTGAGACCCCCTCCCTGTCGCGCGGAGCGCGCCAGGGGCGGCACTGAAGGCGCCGCCAAGTGATTCCAACGCAGATCCAAGAAATACGCGAGGAGCTCCAAACATATCTGTTTATGTAACGCTTGTTTCCCTAATCCCACCAGCCCTCTGGGCGTAGGTGGTCTAGAGCAGATCCTCTTCCACCCCTCCCTCTTCCCCCTTGGGGAGGGGTTTACCCCTCCCCCTACCCCCTCCCCTGGACCTGGACGGGGGGGGCCGCGGGTAGTTAGAGCGTCCAAGATGGCCCAAGACGGCTCCAAGAGCGCCTCAGAGAACCCAAGATGAGCTCCAAGATGGCTCAAGATAGCGCAAGATCGCTCACGATGGCTCCTAAGATGGTTCCAAGAAGCCCAAAGACGGCCCCAAGATAACTCCAAGTGGCCAAACAGCTCCCCAAGGAGGCCCCGAAGAGGCCAAAATCGTCCCAAAACCTAAGGAAAATCAATGATTTTTGCTTTCTCGCCATTTTCCATGGCCATCCGAGGCCTGGAGATGGCTCCAAGATGGCCCAAGAGGGCCCCAAGAGAGCCCCAAAAGAGCCCCAAGACGGCCCCAAGAGCGCCCAAGAGCACTCCAAGAGCGTTCCAAGAGGGGTCCAAGAGGCGATTTTAGGGCTTCCGAGGGGGGGCGCTAATTAAACCCCCCCTCTTGTTTGATCGACTCCCTCCAAGATGGCCCCAAAAGCGCCCCGAAGGCTCCCCAGAGCGCCTCAAGAGGGTCCCAAGAGGCGCCCAAGATGCCCCAAGGCGCCCAAAAAGCCCTCCAAGAGGCCCTCAAAAGACCCCCAAGAAGCTCCTTCCCCTCCTCCTCCTCCTCCTCCGATTCTTCCTCCTTCTCCGTCCTCCTCCTCCTCCTCCTCCTCCTCCTCTTCCCCCTCCTCCTCCTCCTCCTCCGACGACGACGACGACGACGACGACGACTCCTCTTCCATCCTCCCCCTCTCGGGGTCTGTGACAGCTTCCCCCGCCCTTTGTTATTCTGCATGCTCCCCGACTTCCCTGATCACCTCAACTCCCCTGAGCATCGTTTCTGGATGGGCTGGTGGGGATACGCGAAGCGTCAACAATTAAAGCTGTGCGTAGCCCGCCTAGCTTTAAGCGGAAGAGGTTCGCTCTCGCCCCGCCGAACAAAAACTGTTTATGTAATGTTGTCCTCTTCGATTGGCGCCCTCCTCAACTCACTCGCCTCTGCTGCATGTGTCCCGACCCCGCCGGGTTCTTCTGCGCCCACTCCAGAAACCGGAATGCCGCCGCCTTGCCGAGCGCGGGAAAGTTCTGCACAACCAGCGCCCTCATTTTCTCCTGGGTGCCGGGCGCAATCCGACAAGGGTTGTTCGGTGGCAACTCACGGGAGCCTCCCATACCATTTTGTTGGCCCTTGCGACTCGACGCTGGGCGATCCTAATCGACGCTTGTCGACGCTCCATAGATGATCATTTAGGCTAGTCGACGCAAATTAATGCTAAATCCGCGCTATCTAATCGGTAACACGACTCGAATCCACGCTGAAGCATTCTAACAGCAAAATACATGGGTGACAAAGGCCCCCACGAATTGCCACCAAAACAATCGCGACGGACGTTTTGGTTCCCGAGAGGGGCTTCTAGGGGGCCTTCCTCGGGCTCCAGTGCCGACAAGACCACGACCCGCGACAATCAAAATGACCCGGAGATTGGGTAGAGGCGCGTGTCGGTAAATAAAAACGCTGGAGGCATGAGGGGGGGGCAGGGATGGGAAAGGTGGAAGTGAACAAGGGTGCAGTGGAGGTGGGACAGATTCCCGTCCCAGTCCCTGAGCCCAGTCTTGCCAGACGTCATGATCGAATTTGCGTGCGTAGATCAGCGCATGGGATGGGGGTGGGGGCAAGTGTGCGTCTGTAGCCTTTTCGCTTGGAATTTGTCTGCCACTGGCTTCGTCTTACACATCACCGACAGAGTATGTTGGCGCTGCTCGCCCGTCTTGCCCGCGATGATTCCAACGCTGTGATTCGCTGAGGCGTTACCTCCCATCTTCATCCGGGCCGTGCAGCTGACAAGCAACAACACGCACTGCCACTGCCTGCCGTTTCCGCGCTTGCTGACAGTCGCGATGAATTTGTCTCGCATGGCTCACACGCCGGGTTGAAATGCCTCGCGGGGCGCTCGCATCGCTGCACGTTGCCTCCACATTGAGTGCTCACTCTGCAAATCCTGGTGGCCTCTGCGCGGAAAGATGCACCAGTCGAACGTCGTGGTTCAATACCCACCCTCCAGGTCCAGCCTCCACGACAGCATCTGATGTCGGTTTTGCCCCAGGGCATTCCCCGCGCCCCAGTGCGCAAGGCAACGCGAGCCCCCGCCGCCCGCGCGCGCCCGCGCGCGCGCTGCCCCCTCCTATCCGCCAGGGAGGCGATGCGCCTCTTCCGCGCTCACGCCTGAGGACGAGGACGTGGGCCGGTGCCCCTCCGAAGCGGTGCTCGGCACTGGCCAGCCGAACACGGCACCGCCGGTGGCACGTCGTGGAAGCGATGTGGGGCACGGCGAGATCGTCGTCACGACGTGGAGCAGCGCGGCAAGATGCCTCCCAGGTAGGGCCAGAGTAGAGGGGGGAGGATCGCGCTGGATCGGCGATACATCGCCGATGTATCCACGATGCAGCGGCAACCTCGGCGGGGCATCGCCGGCGTCGGCGTGGAGAAGATCTGGCCTCGCATCGAGCCACATCGCCGATGTATCGACGATGCGGCGCGAACCTCCGACCCCGTGTGCTCTGACCCCATCTGGGAGGCCTGGACTTAGGTCGGGCATGTCCTCCTACAGGAGGATTTTGGAAGGGAAATCAAAACATTGTAAAAAAAGATTCAGACATAGTCAGAAGAGCACGAAAAATCGTCCCCAGACTATTCTCCTCACTGTCTCTGAATTTTCCTCCTGTAGAAGGGACATGCCCGACTTAAGCCTAGACTCGTGCAGGTGAAGTGCGCTCACGGCCGCGGGGTGCAGCGGGCACGGCAGGCCCTCGGGCACCTGAAGAGAAGTAGAAGACTGCGCTCGGGCATGACGCCGTGCCGATCCAGAACTGGGTCCGCTGCCGCTGTCTGGCAGGGCCTCCCTCTTCGCAGCACAGTCAACCCGTATCATAAGGACGCTCGACAAGGATGCAAGGGTCTTGGAAGGCCATGCCGACACTTTGCGAGCGGGGCGCGGCCAGCGGGAGCGGCCAAGGATGGGCCGAAGGGGAAGAATGCAAGGGTACTCTTTGGGAAGGTTGCCTATCCTTACCATGCGGGTTGACTGTACGCCTCGTAGACGCGAGAACTCCGGAAGATGACAAACAACACTACCGCAACGTACGTCGCCACGACGACTCGAAAGAAGAACGGCGGCAGGAAGTGAGCTGCGGTGAACGCACCCGCGTAGCAGACCGCCAGGGGCAGCCACTTCCAGCGCGGGGCCGCGTGGCTTGCCTTCACGGCTGCGTGACGACCAAGCTCGCGCAAATCATTTGAAGCCCATCCGACGCCAGGACCCGAAACGTGAAAGTGCCATGGAGCACCATGCCCTGTATGCCCACAGGGCCCAGCCTAGCCCAGCACAGGTGCACCCGCGGCTCCATGCCGAAGCGGTGGGACAGCCAGAGGCCGCGGATACCCACGAGCAGCACAGGCACTGAGGACAAGGTGTTGAAGAGCTCAGCGACGTAGCGAGTTTGGACGCAGTTGGGCTGGCACAAGTCCGCGGTGCTAGGAGGCAGCCCCAGAAGGAGTCCAGGTCATGGCTCAGAACAACGATCGGCCTTCTGTAGAGCGGAACCCCTGGTGCCATGGGAATCACAACAACCGAGACCAACTAGCAATGGCTGTTCCCAAACAAATATTTGGCCGATATGGCTTGAGCCACAACATGTGCTGGAGGCTGGAGTAAGGTAAAGAGAAGGGCCAGAAAAGGAGGATGGTGAGGATGAGGACGAGGACGAGGAGGAAGATGACGAGCCCTGACAATGAGAGGGCAATGAGGATGAGGAAGTGTAGAGGGACGAGAAGGTGGGCGCAGGGAGAAAGGAGGGGGGAGAAATGACTATAGGCGATCGAGGAGCGACATTATGGGGTGGTTACATCGCAAGCAAGAGGAGCTCCTCCTCCTCCTCACCAATGGATCCTCTCCTGGTGCTCCGTAAAACAGCTCAGGCCCCTGAACAGAGACCGTCCAACCCCTCCTCCCCACGTCCTCCTCTTCGATCTGTCTCGTCCCCGACTCCCCTCCTTTTCTCGCATGCACCTCCCTTCTCATCGTCCACCTCCTGCAGAATTCTTGAGATTTAAATCCTCCTGGACATTCCATGAGCTCTCCAAACACTTCTGGACTCAAGCAAACGTGCAAACACGCACGCACACACAAAACACACGCACGCACGCACACGCACAGAAACAGACCCTCGCACATAATCACACACACATGCAGCCACACGCACACACGCGCGCATACGCATGCACGCACGCACGCACGCACGCACTCACGCACCCCATCACACACACGCCCACCCACCCACACACAGACACACACACACACACAGACACACACACACACACACTCACACACGCCCACACACACAACACACACAAGCAACACACACACACGCACACACATACACACACGCTCTCTCGCTCTCTCTTTCTCTCTCACACACGGGCACAATGTTTGGGCGTCGCAGCCACGCGCGTAGCGACGCGGAGAACACACATACACACGACATCGGAAAAACGCGTGCCCTCACTCTTCTTACCAGATGTTGTGAAACGCCTTCCAAGACTTCGCGCATAACTCCAAACACCATCCTGCTCCTCTACATGCCTCCAGCGGCGATTCTTCTTTAGCCATGGGCCCGCCCTCCCATCCAGGACTAGTTTCTGTGGCGGGCCGTTGATTGTTGTCCCGTGGGTCCACAGACGACCCGTGGGAATCCTACACAGCGACGCGGTGCAGGGTACGGCAGACGCACAAGATCTTCGCCGGCCCAACGGGCCAGAGGCGTGCTAAGATCTCCGGTAACTGGTTAACAATTCTCTAGTTCGCGCGCGCGGGGCGGCCCCTGGGGGTCCCCGGACGAAAAGTACCCCGGGCGATCCCCGACCGATCCCCGGGAGACTCCCCCAGAGCGCTCCAGGAGCGCTCCATGAGCGCACCAACAGGGCTCCGAGACGTCCCCGAGAGCCCCAAGAAAGGCCAAGAGGCCCCCAAGAGGCCCCCAAGATGGTACACGAGGGGTCCGACATGCCACAAGATCGCTCCAAGACGCCCAAGATAGCCCCCAGACGCCCCAAGAGGCCTCCAAGAGCACTCCCAAGAGGGCCCCCGGAGGCAAAATTCATTGTTTTTCCTTAGGTTTTTGAGAGATTTTGGAGCTTCCACCTTTTCGGCTTCCCGACGCCCCAAGACGGCCCAAGAGGCCCCCAAGATCGCCCCAAGAGGGCCCAAGAGGCCCCCAAGAGGGCCCCAAGATGGCCCAAGAGGGCTCGAAGACGGCCCAAGAAGCCTCCAAGACGGTCCAAGAGGGCCCCAAGAACGCCCCCAAAGGGGCCCCAGAGAGGGAACACGAAACAACATTTCGAGCCCTCGGCCCTAAGAAGCCCCTACGAGGCCCCTAAGAGGCCCCAAGAGGCCCCCACGAGGCCCTCAGGAGGCCCCCAAGAGTCCCCCAAGCGGCCCCAGGAGGCCCCCCAAATGCCCCCCCGAGCGCCCCAGGAGTGCCCCAAGCGGCCCCAGGAACCCCCAAAGCGCCGCATTGACACCAGGCCCTCGGGCAAACGGCAGACATGAGACTGTATGGGCCGGCGGAATGAGCGAAGCGATTAAATAACAGCGGGCGATTGCCGTCGAGCCTTGAGCTCCCCGAGGTGAGCTTCTGCGGGCTGCCAGGACCACGAGGCGAGACTTCTGTGGAAGGCACCCTGCTGACAGGCCGGCCTCTTCTTTGGCGTACCTCCCGCGCGGGCTTACATGCCAGGTGCATGGATGCGCGTCGGCCTTGGTGCCTAGGTGCAAGGCGGCCCTCGGCAAGACCAGGGGGGCATTCACTGATACCACGCTCTGGCCCACATCTCTGGAGCCCAAAGTGGAGGCCCGGTGAGGGAAGTTCAGCCTTCCCTGCTTGCCCCCCCTCCTGAAAGAGGGGGAGGGGGCAACCCACCAATTTGGTAGACTCGTTCGTCCCTTCCGTCCTTCTTGCCACCAGCGCATCTCTTCTTCCAGGGTTACCTCATGGCGCTCTCGCCCTGAGCTGTTGTACGATGCACTGAGTGGGGAAGGATGAGAGGACGTATAGACCGTGACACCGCGGACGATACTGGCGCCCCCTGCTGCGCTCACAGCAGACGCGACACGGAGCGTCGGGCGCTTCAGAGCGCCAGCGCACCTTTTCGGTCGCCAAGGCCCTCCCCCACCACAGGCCCGTCCTGCGCGAAGGAACGGAAAACGGGCCACGGTCGGCTCAGGCCTTCGGCACCGTCCTCCGCGAGCTCGAGTTCGGCATCCTGTGAGGAGCACGGGGCGGCATACGCCAACACAACCTCTCCCAGCGCTCGGCCCGACTCCCCGCACCCCCTCCCGGGCGCGCTCCGCGGGCCTGGGGGCGGCGCTGGAGGCCCCGCCAGGCGGCGCGGGGAGGTGGGCCAAGCGCCGGCCCAGCAAGTCCGCGCGGACCTGCGAGCGTGGACAGCCGAGACGATGGCTGAAAGACGGCTCGCCAGAGAGACCCGGGCCAGCATTCTGACCAACTCTTGCGCACCCGCTGGGTCAGCCTTCGACGTAATGCCCCCAGGGTTCGCAAGGGACCAGGAAGGCCGGGCCAGCTTCCTGAAAGGTCGCGGAAGACACACGCTGGGACTGGGCGAACAGGGGAGGCTTCTCAATGACCTGCTCAACTGCAAAGGCATCCAACCATGTCATGTTTTCAAGGCGCGGCCCAAGAGGTCCCGACCCTTCCCCTGAGGCAGTTTTTCGCCGCGGATCCATGCTTGATTGCCCTGGGGCCCGAAATTGAGCCCCATAGGCCGAAATCGAAGAAACACGCTTGCATTGGGGAAAACCACGACGTTCGAGATCTGGGTGGCGAAGTGTGTTTCCGATCCACGGCGAGCATCGGCCGCGACAAGGCCCCCCAACTTCAATCAGAGGGACGGCCCCGAAACCAGTGCCCTCATGAGCCCAAATTTAGACGAGCGCGTTCCACTCCTCACTACTCGCAAAGTAACTACTCGCAAAAGGCCTGGATCCGCTGCGGGGGGGTGCGGTACATATTATATCAAAGCAGACATCTGTTTTCAGACGTTTGCGAGTAGGCACTTTGCGAGTAGTGGAACGCGCTCGGTGAAAAGTGGTCCTTGTGTCATCGTCTTGACTGCTGTACAGAAGACGCATACGGTAAGACATCCTGCCATAGGAGATCTTGAGAAGGAAAATAAAGCCATGCAAGTAAACTCTTGGGGCTCCGCGCGGATTTCTCGGATCTGCGCTGGACCCCCCTCCCTGGCGCGCGGAGTGCGCCAGGGGCGGCGCCAGAGGCGCCGCCAGGGGGGGCCCACCGCCAGCGAATCTTGGGGCACATGATCCGTCCATCTTCCAGGACTCTGCGTGTGACCCCGACCTTATGCGGGTCCCCGGGCTCCATCGGGGGAAGGAAGCTCCTGCGGGGCACCTGAAGAGACAGGCAGATCTTATATGCATGTACATGTAGCGTGCCACCTGTATGCCTGCCGACGCCAGGGTTGGACTCTTCATGTCTTCGCAGGTCTGGGAACATGTCGACCCAGACCTCCGATGTCGTGTGCTTTCGATACGAGGTCATGGGAGCGCCGACTTCCCGGGGAGCAATTTTTCGTCCCAGATCGTCTTTTGGACGCCGAAAACTAAGCAACAATCTTCGTCTGGATTCGTGTCAATACGCTGGAGGTTTGGGGACCTTCCACGACGTGGACCCCCGAAGGGCTGGACCCTTCTGAGGGACTGGCGTTTCATCTTGTTGTCCTCCCCCGCGCCACGAGGCAACCCCATGCCACAACTGAGCAGCACAAAGAACACTGACATGGTGGCCAGGCAGCCTCCGAGACCTTGCAACCAGATAGTGGACTCAAACAGCACGAGAGCAGGGAGGACGTAAGGCTATCGTTCCATCCTGAGTCGTTTTTGTGACGGCCCCGAGGCTAGGCAAGGGCCTCCAGAGGCAAACAAAATAGAGAAACACAGCCCGTCGCGATGTTCTCACGGCGCGAAGGGGCCCGGGCCTACAGACTTTCTGTGGTCTCCGGTGTCCACATCACTGCTCCCAGAGGCACGGACAACCGGATTGGAAGACACAAGTCGTCGGAGATCTGGGTACACTGGGATGCTTTCTGGCTTTCTGACTGTGATCTCGAAGAGAATCCAGCCGTGGCGACGGGGCTCTGTAGGACCAGCGGCGGTATCAGTACCTGTTCCTTCTGGTCCTCTGAAGGGCAGACCCTCAGATCTGACGTTGCAAACAGAATCCACATCGCAGGAAATCACCACCAGAGCCCCAGATTCCATCTTCCTGAATCCGATCGAATTGTGAGGGCCCCCTGAGCCCGAAAGACGGCAACATCGCCCGTTGCGGACACTCACATGAAGCCGACGAGATCTTTGCTGGGTATGTCGGGGACCTACTGGCCTGGGTCCACGCAAACTTGGGTCAGTCGGGCTTTGCAAGATCCTGCAGGATCCTGCAACGCAAGCCTGGGTCAATGCAGCCCTGGCTCTGCAGAATCCTGCAAGATTTGGCGTTTTGGCGAACCCCCGTTTGCGCTGACCCTCATCCCCAGACCCCCGATGTTCTGATTGTTTCATTTCGTCGACCCCTGGAGGTCTTGACCCATTCCCCTGGACCGGCTTTCCATCCGGAACGTTTCTTGACAGTCTCGAGGGCCGACGAGGGCCCCCGAAGGCCGAAAATGGCAAGAAACCTCCCGTCATGATTTTTGCATTGCCCGAGGGGGCCTCGGGGTATGTAGACTGCCTTTGGTCCCCGGTGTCCACATCACCGCCCCCATGGGCATAGGCGCCCCGCCTCGCCCGGGGCCCGCTGGCAGCGGGGGCACCTCCGCCTCGCGAGCGCCCTCGGGCTGCCGCAGCCCCGCCGCGCAGTCGGCGGACGCACTGGCCTCCCCCGAGGCCGTGTCGGCGGCCGCCTCCACGGTGCCTCGGCGCGGGGGAGAGGACGCCTCCCTGACTTTCCAGGAGGGCTAGAACATAGCACCAGGGCATCGGCGTCTTGATTCCTGTCGGGGTTTGAGGCAGTCCAGATAGGTCTCTAGGTCTGGAACGCTATTCTTCAGCACTCTGGAAGGTCAGGGTCGGCGCCACCCCCAGGCCAACTCGCGTCGTGACAAAGAGCACGACGGAAGCTTCTCGGCCGTTTCCGGGCTCCGGGGGGCCTCGTCGGGCCCGTGGGCCGTCGACAAGGCGACGCGGGGCGAAAAACGGGTCTCCGGGAAGGGGCCCAGACCTCTGGGGGTCCACGTCGTACACCAAAACAGCAAAACGTCGGGGGCCTGGGACGACGGAGGAGGGCCAGGAATGCCCTGGCGTTCTTCGCTCTGTCTGGGCCTCCTGTACGCTTCACGCTGCCACGGGGCTGGATCTGGCTCGAAGGGCGGGATCTTGAGCGGATTTTTGGCCCGGGGCGGAGGCGCCGCCCTCCTCGGACAGTGCCCTCCCCTCGGTGGTGGCCTGCATGGGCCTCCCAGGGAAGGCCCCTTTCGCCACGCGGCTGGATTCGCCTCAGGATCCTGGCCAGAGGGCGCCAAGGGCATTGGGGAGAGGGCCGAGGCGGGGGGGGGGGGGGGGGGGGCCACAACTGGCTGTACTGTCAGAGCTAACAGCGAGGATGCGCGATGAGGGCGCAAGCCCCTTGGACGCCCGTGGTGAAGCTGTTCTTAGCGCGGCGGACCATCGAGAGCAGTCCAGGATGGACCAAAAAGGCACGAATGAAAGGGTACCCTTGGGAGGGTTACGCATCCTGACCATCAGTTTCGACTGTATTGGCACCCTCCTGCTCCTCCAGCGGCGGCGCGACGGCAAGACGGTGCGGCGACGGGGGGGGCACCCCCTGTGGAGACCTCCAGGAATGCCCCGCTGATGCGGGAGAGCTCCTGAGGAGCCCGCCCGGCCTTCAAGGAAGGCCCCTCCCCCATGACCCCCGGCCCCCCCCCCGGTGACCCCCGACGTGGCGATCCCACGGCGAGGCCGCCCTGGCCGCCCCACGGGGCCCAGACCTCTCTCCCCAGGGCGGGCTTCTCCTCCTGAGCAGAACGCACGGACACGTGGAGCAAAACGGGGTCCCGCCAAGAGTATTCCGTGAGGCGCCCAGTCCAGATATCTTCATACAAATGAGTGTACATACTATATATGAAAATATGTATCAGAGTGAGGGGCTGAACCGAACGGTCATTCACTGTCCTTGGGTGCGTGGCTGAAAAAGAATTCCGCGATGCGGATTATTGCTGTTGTTGATGTTGTCGTTGTTGTCGTTGTTGCTGTTGATGATGATGATGATGATGATGATGATGATGATGATGATGATGATGATGATGATGATGGTGATGATGATGATGATGATGATGATGATGTTTGTTGTTGTCGTAGTCCCACCCGCGACCCGCCCCGCGACCCCCCCGCGATCCACCCGCGACCCACCCCGCGACCCACCCGCGACCCACCCCGCGACCCACCCGCGACCCAACCGCGACCCACCCCGCGACCCACCCGCGACCCACCCGCGACCCACTCCGCGATCCACGCGCGACCCACCCGTGACCCACCCTGCAACCCGCCCGCGACCCACCCCGAGACCCCCCCGGCGACCCACCCGCGACCCACCGGCGACCCACCCACGACCCACCGGCGACCCACCCCGCGACCCACCCGCCACCCACCCGCGTCCCACCCGCGACCCCCGCGACCCACCCGCCACCCACCCGCGACCCACCCCGCGACCCACCCAAAATTTTCGGCGCCTGCGGCGGGCTTCTTTTGCATCCGTTCCACGTGGAGAACCTGTGACCCACCCGCGACCCAAACCGCGCTCAGTGTACAAATCGAAAATCTCGGCGCCTGCGGCGGGCTGTTTTCGAATTCTCTCCCAGGTGGAAGTGGAGATCCCGCGACCCACCCGCGACCCAAACTATGTTCACTGAACAAGCCAGAATTTCGGCGCCTGTGGCGGGATTCTTTTGCATCGGCGACCCACCCGCGACCCACCGGCGACCCACCCCGAGACCCACCCGCGACCCACCCCGCGACCCACCCGCGACCCACCCGCGTCCCACCCGCGACCCCCACGACCCACCCGCGACCCACCCACGACCCACCCCGCGACCCACCCGAAATTTTCGGCGCCTGCGGCGGGCTTCTTTTGCATTCGTTCCATGTGGAGAACCTGCGACACACCCGCGACCCAAACCGCGTTCAGTGTACAAATCGAAATGTACGGCGCCTGCGGCGGGCTGTTTTTGAATCCCTCCCAAGTGGAAGTGGGGGGCCCGCGACCCAAACTACGTTCACTAAACAAGCCAAAACTCCGGCGCCTGCGGCGGGTTTCCAGGTGGAGAATCTGCGACCCAAGCCGCGTTCAGTGTACAAATCAAAATGTTCGGCGCCTGCGGCGGGCTTTTTTTGAATTACAGGTGGAAGTGGAGAGCCCGCGACCCTAACTACGTTTACTGAACACGCCAAAAAATCGGCGCCTGCGGCGGGCTGTTATAATATTCGTTCCGGGTGGCCCACCAGCGATCCCCCCCCGCGCTGAACTTGTCAGAGCACGCAAATCGGCGCCTGCGGCGGGCTTGCTCGCATTGGCTTGGGAAGGCGCCCTCGTGCCATTCCCCCGATGCGGCCCACGCTGACTCTACAACAGCACATCGGCGCCTGCGGCGGGGCTGTGTCTGAGCACGTTCATTGACAATCCAGCTGCCTGCTGCAATTCGGCATCCGTGCCCAAAGCCTGGGTTCAGGGGAAGCTGCCTCAAGGCGCCCACAATTAAGGGGCCTCGGGATGGGGGAGGAGGAGGAGGACGACAACGACGACGGAAAGGAGGAAGGGGGAGGATCGGGATGGGGGAGGAGGAGGAGGAGGAGGAGGAGGAGGAGGAGGAGGAGGAGGAGGAGGAGGCGGACGACGACGACGACGATGAGGACGAGGACGCGGACGAGGAAGAGGAGGAGGAGCAGGAGGAGGACGAGGAGGAGGAGGAGGATGAGGAGGAGGAGGAGGAGGGCGCCATCGACAGGGAAGGTGAGGGTCACGAGGTCCGCCGGCTCGACGCCCGCGTCGCCCGCGCCCGCCCCCTCACTCTTATCCGCAATTGCGGGGTGCTACGTATATACACCTATCAGAGCGTGCTTCTGCAGGGGTCCTGGAGGACTCATATGGTTAGGTGAGGTGCGTCGCCGATTTCAGTGGTCGGTCGGGGTGCCCCTGTGCCCTGGTTCCAAATTTCCAGGGGGTGCCTGGAGGTGCCCAGCCGTGCCTGGGTGCCTGGGTGCCTGGGTGCTCTATCGCCCTATAGCCCCTGAAGCCATAAAGCCCGATAGCCCTATAGCCATAAAGCCCTATAGCCCTATAGCCCTGTTGCCCGATAGCCCTATAGCCCTATAGCTCTGTAGCCCTATAGCCCGATAGCCCGATAGCCCGATAGCCCATATAGCCCTATAGCACCATAGCCCACTAGCCCGTATAGCCCGTATAGCCCACATAGCCCCATAGCCTTACAGCCTTTTGGCCCAATAGCCTTATAGCCCTGCATCCAGCCTTAAGCCCTATAGCCAAAGAATCCTAGCCCTATAGCCCTAGCCCTCATGGCCTTCATAGCCCTCGCAGATTTCATAAACCTAAGGAGTAAGTGCAGAGTGGTCGCATGTGGGATCGACAAAGACTCGGATTGGGACTTTTCCCCGGTATCATATATATATATATATATATATATATGTATACACTGCTAAATATAAGTATGTATGTATATATATATATATATATATAAGTAGCGCGAGAGAGAGAGAGATGTACATACTCCGACGGCGCTTCATAGTGCGTAAGATTCTCCCTCCCGCTCCACAGGGGGCACCGAACGAGCATGGCTGGGCCCCGCCCCGCCCCGCCCCTTTCTGAGCCCCGCTGGGCTCCGCTGGTGCTGCCGAGGGCGCCGCACCCCCACGCCGCGGCCGGCGACGCTGGCGGCCTCGGGGGACCGTGGTCGGCCCGCAACACCGCGGAGTGCGGGGATCCCTGCACGGACCTCTCGTCGCACAGGGAGTCGCGGCCGAGCACCGCCGGCGGGCGCTGGGGCGAGGCCGCGGCGTCCGGCGCAGGCTCGGTGCCGGGCGCCTGCGACGGCCCTGCGGCGGGTCCCCCCGCCTCGGGATGCCTCTGCCCGGGCTGGTCGCGGGGGCTCCTCAGCCTTGCCGAGCGGGCGATCACGTCATCGCTGGAGGAGCGAGTGCTCTCCAGCAACTGGCGCGCCCCCTGGCGCTGGAGAAGCTTGGCCTTCTCCTCCTCCAGCACCACGAACTGCTGCTGCTGCTGGAGGGCGTGCACCTCTGCCAGTATCCGTTCGGTCTCGACCTCGCCCCGCAGCGCCGCGCTCCGCCGCCGCAGGCGCATCATTTTCAGCTGCCCCTCGAGCTCCGCCTGCTCCCTCTCCAACTCCTGATGGGCCAATTTTCCACCACCGCGACCATAGGTAGGACGGGGGAGAAGGGAGGACGGAGAGGTCCTCCTCCTTCTGACCCTCCTCCTCCTCCTCCTCCTCCTCCTCCTCCTCCTCCTCCTCCTCCTCCTCCTCCCTCTGGTACCTATGGTGGTGGTGGTGGTGGTGGTGGTGGTGGTGGTGGGGTGGTGGAAAATCGGCCCACCAGCTCCTGCAGGCTGGATTCGCTCGGCGCCCGCAGCTCCAGCGAGCCGCTCCGGGCCTCAGAGCCCGCACTGCAGTGGCGCAGGCCGCTCCCTGCCGCGCCGCCGGCCAGGGGCGAGGCAGAGCGGAAACGGTACTCGCCCAGCAGAGGGCTGGGGCTGCCGTGGCGCACCTGGAGGCCTCCCGCATGGAGTCCGAGTACAGTGGAGGCCAGTCCACAAGAAACCTTCCACAAGAAACCCAACCCTGAGACCCCAGGACGGTCCACTGATTTCAGGTGTGGGAACGTCGCACTTTCCACAGCCAAAACATCGAAACCCAAGAAACCACGGGCACCCTGCGGGTCAGCAGGGTGTTTCTTGGAATGGGTCTTCACTGTAGGTGGGGTTGGAAGAGCGCGCCAGGTCATCGCCGATGCATCGTGGATGCGTCGGCAACGTCGGGCGTGCAGAACACTGCGCTCCACATCAAGCCGCATCGCCGAAGCATCGGCGATGCGGCACGATCCTGTGACCCCACTGGGTCGGACCCCATCGGGGCGGCGCACTGGTGCTGCGTACGCGGGGCCGGGGTGGCCGTACGTGGGCTGCGGGGCCATGCCCGGGCCAGCAGGCAGGCGGGGAGTGACGCCCACGCTGGCGCAGCCGTTCGGCGGCGCCGCGGAGGAGCCGACGCCGCAGCCCAGGAGGACCCCACGGCTGGCGCCCTGCCGAGGGGAGGGGCACGCGAGCGGCGAGGCGGCGCCGAGGGCCGCCGCGGGCGAGGGCACGCGCACGGGCGCTGCCCGAGCGCCCAGGTAGAGGTTGGGCACGTGGGGCCTCGCCAGCGGCATCAGCCCGGCCTGGGCTGGCCCCCCTCCTCCTCCTCCTCCTCCTCCTCCTCCTCCTCCTCCTCCTCCTCCTCCTCCTGCTCCTCCCTC